TGTGAAGCACTGACATGCTTTGGCAGCTTGTGGTTGTCACTCGAGGATCAGCACGATGTGTTCGTTTGCTTCGCTTTTGACTTCCGCAGCTGCGCCCGGTGCAGGTTGCGCCACACTCATCCCGGTCGAAGCATGGACGCCATGCAGGAAGCCCTAGGAAAGCCCTAGGAAGCCTTGAGCCTACCATGAGGGTAGCTTCAAAAGTGTTGTTCCACATTTTCCAAGCTTTCCAGAGGTGCTCATTTTTGCATCACTTCTCCTTTTCTTGAATCATTCGTCAGGTTGACGACGGAAGCGACGGACATGTGAAGCGACCGCACTGGGAGGGAACGTGCAAAACGACACTGATCAGCAAGTCGCGCGGCCCAAGACAAGGTGAGATGGCGGGTGTGGAGGCCGAGAGATATTTGTAGAAAAGAACTGGAATGCACCAAGCTTGAAACCAGTGCAAGCTGGAATGGATGAAACATGATGAAACCCTGGGACGATTGAAGAATCTGATACTCCTGTGCTCTTGAAAAAGTTCGAACATCATTAATGACCTGAGTCCCCAGCATGAATTGTTAGCTGAAGATGAGATGAAAACCAATTGCAGACCACTTTGCGATCGCAGGGAGCAACGTGGCTTCCTTCAGCTCAGCGAGTCCAGGTGCTCATCGTAGAATCACCCAGGTAGAGATTGTTGAGCACAATTGATCATCCTTCAGAACAGGAGATCGTTTACATCCTCGTGCACTTGACCCTAAAAACCACCAGTGCCACCCGTCCCAAGCCGAAGCCCAAGGGCAGGGCTGTGGTTTTGAAGATTAAGCTTCGCTGACCATCCAGAGCCAGTGAACCCCCCATGTTCGTCGACGCAATCAACACACACTCGATTCGTGTGCAACTTTGTCGCGGCTGATGTTGTTTCTAGGTTTTGTTGAAAACCGCGACCTGTTTCAGGTGGGCTTGGGACTACCAACCAGTCGCTGTCATGTCAACGTGTTTTCGACCGGAGGTGCCCGCTTTGGGACTTAGTCAGGCTGTCGCTAGGCAGGATGCAGTACAGTACATGCACATGGGCGTTGGGAGTTCATGTGTTTTTGAGTAATGGCCTCCATCCTAATAGCAAACTATCTTAGTAAGGCACCTTGCTACTAGTAGTAATGCCAGGAGCTACTGGTAGCTTCTTGTTACTAGTAGTGATGGCCTCCATCCTAATAGCGATGGCCTCCACCACCTCATTTCATCGTTCAATTCAACGAAGAATCACGTATTTAACGTCCAGTGGTAGACCATTCTGCCAGAAGCTTTGGTGTGGTCATTTTCTCGCGGCTGCCAGAAGATCTTGGTATGGGTCAAAACATGTCAAAACCTATGACTTGGGAGATAAACATCCATGAATCCCATCGATATTGGGTTCATCGACGTAGTACCCAAAATCTTGACCGGGAGCACTCTTTGTGAAAGGCACTTTGCGGCAGGTGAAAGGCATGATTGGCCTTCCACAACTGCAGCAGCACTTTGCGTGGTGTGGAGCCCAAACAACTTGGGACTTAGAGGCAGGAAGTCCTCGCAACCATGGACCAACTTGGACAAACACTAGATAGAAACCCCACCCTGGCCAAAAGCATTCAAACAAATCCAAATCTAATTGGCCTCCGGGCTTCCAGCAAGCCTTAACATGCTCAAGTTG